GGGGGGGGGGGGGGGGGGGGGGGGGGGGGCGGTTGTCTAGCAGAATGGCCGTGGGGCTAGGGTGTAGGCCCATCTACGCAGGCCAGGTCTACGTGATTTTAGGGGTCCGGCGGTCTGGCCCTTTCTGGGGACCTCGGACTTCTCATAAGGAACTAAGGAGTGCGACCCGTGCAAAGATCCCCACAATTTGAAACGCAGGTTTCCACCCCCGCGTTTCACGGCATTCTGGCGCAGGACGCTGAGTGGTAGAGAGGTCGAGCGACTAGTCCGCATTCCTCTCGGATCCACTCTGCTCCCTCTTTTCCTCCCCAGTGGGGCTAAAGGTCTGCTTAATTTGGGTCTTCCTTCCTGTCGGTTTGGACCTGGACCTAGGTCTGTGCCCCTCAGCTATGGAACCTGGACTCGGTTATTGAAGTGCGCAATACGGGGAGGAGGGAGGGAGAAGAGAAACGCCCAGAATGCTCAGCTCCCTTTTCTTACAGTCACCACTACTTCCCACCTCAGCCTGGGAGGGACCAGTTAGCCACTCACTCCTGGGCACTTGCCTGTAACCCATAGGGGAATAGCTCTGAGGGATAGACAGAAGAGCACGTTTGGAGGTAATGGACCTGAGACAGGTCTGGCTAGAGGGATGTAACAGAACTAGAATAGATAGCAATATGAAAAGCCTGGAGGCTGGGGAGTGGAGAGGGTCCTGGGCGTGGGATTTGGATAGACAGAAAGGGTTTCATAGCAAGCGGGCTGTCCAGTGCCTGGCTCTGGTGCTGAAAGCATGGGGCTCAGAGAGTCAGAACCCTTGTGGTCAGGCCCATGAGATGACTGATGCCATCTCTTCTTTGCAGCTTGTGATAGAGAAGGGGTGGTGTGCAGAGGAGGGAAGACCTTCTTCCTAATAGGCCTTAGGGAAAACTTCCTGGAGATGGTGGGTTTCTACTGTCTTGGAAGGCTCTGAAAATGTGGAGGTACGAGACAGGGAGGGCATCCCTGACCTGGGATGTCTGACCCAGACAGAGAACTGCAAAATTCCTGAGGTTGGAAAACTGTATATTTTCAGGGAATTGTGAGAAATTCACCTGGTTAATAGGGAGCTTTTGAAGGCTTTAGCTGTGTAGAATGAGGTGTGCAAGCTGGAACCTTGGAATGCCCACAAGATTTGGGTGTATGGGACAGGATAGAGGTGATGGGGCCACATGCAGGACCCTTTATGGTAGGGAGAAGAGTTGAGAAAGAACACAAAGGAAGTTGACCTTATACAGCCACCTGCTATGAGTATCACTGAGCCAAGTTCTAGAGAATACCAGACTGGTTATTCTGTTTTCACAACAGGGAAACCCAGAAACAACTAGACCCTTTGAGTGCCAGTTTGAATATTGTGTTAGGTTTTCATCACAGTGGCCAAAATACCAACAAGAACAACTTGGAGGAGGAAAAGTTTCCTTTGGGCTCATGATTTCAGAGGTGCAGGCTATGGTTGACCATCTCAATGACGTGAGGCAGAACATCACTGCAGAAGATTGAGGTGGAGTAAACCTGTTCAGCTCATGGCAGCTGGGAAGCAGAGAGAGGAGCCAGAGAAAAGCCGTATAATCCCAGTGACCAGCTTCCTCCAGCCACACCTTAACTGCTTACAGTTACTACCCAGTAATCCATTCAAATTATTAACCCATCAAATGGATTAGTCCACCGATTAGGTTACAGCTCTCATAATCTAATCATTTCATCTTTGAGAATTCCTGCTTTATCTGTTACATGAGTTGATTGGGAGATGACTCGTATTCAAACCATAACAGATGAGAAGGAAGACAGACTCTTAAAGAATAAAACTTGGCCTCCAGGAGGCTGTTTATTAGGAAGAGAAGATTCTGGTCCATGTCTAGTGCCAGGTCAGGAAGGCAACCTTCTCAGGTTCCTCATCTTGTGTCTTTTTTTCTTGTTTCTTCAGTGGTGTGGACCAGGGGGATGCCCTGGGCAATGGCCTGGGGGATGCCCACCAGGTCCTGGGGGGTGGCCTCCCCCATGAGAGTGCCCTGGACCATGACCAGGGGGGTGCCCACCAGGTCCTGGGGGGTGGCCTCCCCCATGACAGTGCCCTGGACCATGACCAGGGGGGTGCCCACCAGGTCCTGGGGGGTGGCTTCCCCCATGACAGTGCCCTGGACCATGACCAGGGGGGTGCCCACCAGGTCCTGGGGGGTGGCCTCCCCCAGGACAGNGGTGGCTTCCCCCATGACAGTGCCCTGGACCATGACCAGGGGGGTGCCCACCAGGTCCTGGGGGGTGGCCTCCCCCAGGACAGTGCCCTGGACCATGACCAGGGGGGTGCCCACCAGGTCCTGGGGGGTGGCCTCCCCCAGGACAGTGCCCTGGACCATGGCCAGGTGGGGGACCACCAGGTCCTGGAGGATGGCCGCCATGGCAGTGCCCCTGTGGAAAGCCAAATGACCAATGTCAGAATCTGAGGTCAGTGTCAATCTCTCCTGTAATCAACTCCTCTTCTTTCTCCTTCCCCGGGGATTCTGGATTCCTGGGTACTAGCAAGGAGCTATAGAGGAGGACTGGGTGGTAGGGGTGGCCTTGATGAAGCCCCTTGAATACTGAGCAGATGAGGGGAGGGACCTAGATTTATTGGTTTCCATTCTTGACCTGAGCTATGATTCCACTTCTTGGACTTTGGTTTATTTCATGTGTAACTAAGAAGCAAAATTATCTCATCTTCCCTGAGGGACCCTTGCAGAGTGATTCTAGAAGCTTTTCCATGCTAGAACTGCAGGCTTATTGTACTTAGGAGCAAGGGTGAAGCTCAGGGAGGCTGTAGAGGAGCTGAGGGCTAGGGAGAGATAGGAGCTGAGGAGAAGGAGTACAGCAGCTGGAGGAGGGGCAGTAGACCAAGAGAAGGAAGGAAGATGAAGATGTGCATGTTCTCTACATAGGTAGTGGGTCCTTGTATATGAACAGGATGTATGCTGCATTGACATACATATAACTGTGTTTGGGTACATGTACATAAGTGAGTGCATATACTTGCCTGCTGTGCACATAGATGCATGCATGGAGTACATGGTGGTGTGTTCATGAGAATGGGTGTGTGTGTGTGAGCCTATGGCATCCCTGAGCAGGGTGCGAGCCCAAGATATCAGGAAGACTAAAAAATAATGTCAAAGTTTTACTCCTCCAAAGTACAGGTATGAAGACACGAAGTGCTGTGAATATACTATGTATACAATCAGAGATATGAAAAATTGTGCTCTATATGTGTAATAAGAACTGTAATGCACTCTGTGTCGTATATAAATTAAAAAAAAATAAATAAAAATAAAAAATGTTTTACTCCTTAGCCAGAAGAAGACTGGAAAAAAAGTGTGGTTTTACCTTCTGTCTTGACTACAACTACCTATAAGGCCCTAAGATGAAGGGAATTTCTTTGTTTCTTACCACAGGCCCAGGGAAGGAGAGAGAGACACCATCTTGCTTCTGTGCTAGACACTGAGGGTCTGGGCCCCTGTGGAGCAGGGGTGAAGCTATGCCCCTTTCCAGGGCTTCTGTTTCTTAGGGCATGGTAAAAGTTCAGAAGATCAAGGCTCCAGGGCTTTCCTGTGACTATGTTAGAGCAGTTCCTGCTCCATCCAGGCTCAGTGATGCCTGGAAACAGCCACTTCCTACTCTATCTGCTTTTCCTTCTATGGCTCTTTTTGTGGTGGGGCCACAAATCCACACCAGGGAACTGGTCTGCTGTGGTAGCTGATGTAGGAGAAGAGGGTGAGGGCAGACCAACTTCCTTTCTTGGCAGAAGCCTATCTTGGGGGATCTGCAGTGTGGCTGGGGCTTGGGAGCAAGCCATCCATCCAGCAAGGCTGTGGGGGTAGCCAGGAAAGCAGAGCAGGGTAGAACAGGTGGGGAAGCAGCAGGAGGGAGGATGGGCTGCTGGGGCAGGGAGGGGAAGAGAGGAAAGGAGGAGACAGATGGGAAAACAGAGAGGAGAATGCCAAGGAAGGAGGCTGTAGCAGCAGGGGCTGGGTGAACTTGGCAATGCCTCACCCCACGGGGCTGCTGCCCAATCCTGCTCTTGACTTTCATTTCTGGAAAGGGGATCTAGGAAGGAAGGTCTGGAGGGCATGGTAGTTGGTAGTGGGGAAGAAAACAGGGAGAGGATTGGGAACTTTCTTACCTTTGGACCTGTGGGAGGGGAAGAGAAAAAAAAAAGGAGCAACTTGGATCATTTGGTTCTGCAGTTAAAAACCCTGTCTTCTCCCTGGCACTGATCTGTTCCCCTCCCCCAACAAGGCTCTTCAGACTTGGTCATTTGCCTGACAATCATTCCTCCATTCATCCACTCAACCACAGATTCATATTGAAAGTCAATACAAAGTTCCATTGTGAGTCCCTGAGTGCCCCAGACTGGCAGAGTCCTCCCAGGTGGCACAGGGCCAATTAAGAGGCATGGGTTCTTGTCCACACTCTGTCAGCTATTTGTCCTCCTCGCCTTGGTCAAACATCATGGCATTAGAGAAATGTTCCACTGTGGCAAACTCTGATTCATCCTCTTCTGCTTCTGCAAGGGGCCCCACCTTAGTTCCCTCACATCTCATTTATCTCACCCAGTCTGTGCTTAGCCCCTCAGAGCTATTTGTTGGCTCCTGCTTTAACTTTGTTGGCTCCTCCTTATAACTCACATCTGGACCTTTGCTTATGCCTCCTGCTACTTTGAAATCTCTCTAGCTCAACTCTCCCTTGTTTTACTGCAGGAAATCTACTTTACTCTGTGAGTCCAGTGGGCTCATTCAGCAATAGTCATCTGA